GGTGGGTGAGACAAACATGATCGAAAATGCATTTACTCAACGTCAGTGACACAAACCCTTCCTGATGGCGAATTATTACTCTTATCTTATAACTGCCTTTTGGCTATATCTGCCGTTGTATTGGTTGGTGGAGCATATGTGTCGACCTCATGCGGGTGGTAGCTGGCGGGAGGATCTGAGGAGACTCTCAAGGCTGCGGCCGAATGCTGCACAACGTGGGACCCCATTCCCTTGAGGTGAGCGGTAGACTCATGACACGCTCTGCGGCTAGTAGCCGTGCTGATCATGCAATTGGTGGTGATGCCATACACTTACATCACGTCAGCAGGAGCGGCGGTCTGGCAGGTGGTGGCGCTCACGGAGGGTTTACAGCCAGTGTGCCTATTTGCCTAAACCGTGTGACGTACGTTTACTGTGGCTGGATTCGTTCTTATTCTGTATGGCGTTTACACGCTTACGCACTAACAAGGGGCCAAGCCTCTTTTACTGGTTCGCCAGTTATTTTGCTGTGGACTACGGTCCAGTTCCCGAATTAACGTTCCCTTCGGGGGGAGTGCATCAAAATGGTTGGCGCTCACCGTGCACGGCGTGTGTGGGGCCGTGTGCCTCCCCTACATTTTTAAAAATAAATGTAGTAAAGCGAAGCCCTTGTATCGGGTATTTTGTATAAATATATTTTGATCCTTTTCCGAGCGGGAAGGGATAAATAATATTAAATTAATAATGTAAACCTGATACAAGTGGAATAGGGACGTTTTATGTTCTTAAGCTTTCCCGAGCCCTGTCTTCGTGAACGGGGTTCACTTAGCTTTTAAGGCACTACCAACAGCTTTCAATTGCTCTAGTGAATATTCATTCTTCCAAAAGACACCTAAAAGAACTAAGTTACTAAACAAACACAACGTAAATAAGGGTCCTAACTAAGACGATCACGCCAAAATATTACAAATGGCCTATTAATAAACCTTTTGAAAGATCATTTAGAAAGATCAAAACATATCTTATTTATCCTAGTCACATATATATAATGTTATTGAAAAAGGGTAAATTTACTATATATAATACATTTAATATATATTTTATTATTATGGTAGGGGGGGAAGCGTTAAAGAAGGTACTGCTGCCCATCTCTTGTTTCAATTTATTATTTTGAGTGGCTATTAGGAAGGTGCTGCTGTCCGTCTCTAGTTTCAGTTTATTATTTTGAGTGCTAATTAGGAAGGTACTGCTGCCCGTCTCTTGTTTCAGTTTACTATTTTTAGTGGTTATTAGGAAGGTGCTGCTGCCCATCTCTTGTTTCAATTTATTATTTTGAGTGGTTATTAGGAAGGTACTTCCGCCCGTCTCTTGTTTCAATTTATTAATTTGAGGGATAATTAAAAAGGTGCTACTGCCCATCTCTTGTTTCAGTTTATTATTTTGAGTGGTTATTAGGAAGGTTCTGCTGCCCATCTCTTGTTTCAATTTATTATTTTGAGTGGTTGTTAGGAAGGTACTTCCGCCCGTCTCTTGTTTCAATTTATTATTTTGAGGGATAATTAAAAAGGTGCTACTGCCCATCTCTTGTTTCAGTTTACTATTTTGAGTTGTTATTAGGAAGGTGCTGCTAAACATCTTTTGTTTCAATTTATTATTATGAGTGGTTATTAGGAAGGTACTTCGGCCCGTCTCTTGTTTCAATTTATTATTTTGAGTGGTAATTAGAAAGGTACTGCTGCCCATCTCTTATTTCAGTTTGCTTCTGTCGCCTTTTATGACACGGGACAAAATGAGGTAGTTGATATTCTTACACCGCCAAAATACGTCAGGTTATCTGGCTATACCTAGTTAGGTATAAATATCTTACCTCTCCCTTTTATAATAAATAGTAAAATGATTTTGAAATTTATCGCTTTTCAAAAATATTTTAAACCTACTGGATATCTTAATTAATTCAAATAAATATATAAGGATAAAAATTAAGTTCTTCAGTCTTTCTTGTTGGTTTAAGTTTTACATCAGAGGTATGTCTTATGGAAATTTTTTGCGATCTTTATATTTTTCCTTAGTTAGGATCACGTTTGATTTAAAATGAATGAGTGTAACCTACATGTGTGGATTACAAAACGATTGAATTCGAATTTATATCAACAAATATATAATAATAGCCACGTAATACATATTGAAAACTGTACAGTATTTTGAAATCAAAATTAAAACGAGCACACAGTCCACTGATAGCAAAAGGATGCTGGGGATCATATACTCCTATCTATTCTTGACTAAGAATAAAAACGCAGATGCGTTGTGACCCAAAGCAGTAAAAGATGAAACACCTCAGTATGCGTAATAGTAAAAGCCTAGTTAATTCATTTTTGTGGCAAAATGAACGAGTAATTTTTTATACTTGCTGAATTATCATATCAGCCCACTGACTTTAATATCACATATTATATTATTTCCATGTATAATGTATAAATGAGCATTGATCTCTAAATATAAATAAATTTTGCCTGCTGATGTTTTATTTTTTTATTTTAGTTTAGTTTATAAAATAATGAAATTATTATTTTTTATTTACAAAACTTTAAAATATAAAACTTATTTTTTTCTTATTAAAAAATTTTATAAATTAAATTACCATACAGTTTAACTCCCCGCAGTAAAGTGCCAAGAACGCTGGCTGCATTTCCTCGCTTAATGGCAATACTTACCCTTTGAGCTAGAATAGAACCAGTCCAATCTTCGAAATTTCTGAACCAAAAGAGAGAGGAAGAGAGAGAGAGAGAGAGAGTAATGCCAGTAGTTCTATATATATACATATATATACGTCTGTGAACCGCATGCTCTTTGATAATTTATTTTTCTTATTAATACAGCCCATTAAAGTTTAACTACTGAATGACCATAGGCCTTTTTCGTAGTATGCCATATAGGGGCGATATTGAAAAGCTTGGCATTCACGTTACCATTTGCAATTTTAATTTTTAGCACGCTTTCATTACCTTCCCGTTTATCTATCTATTTTTCAACAAACCAACTTAGTGGAATATCTTAATGTAATTTTCACCATGTTGTGGACAGCCGATTGATTTAAAATTTGCAACCGTATCAAGGACTGACGACAGTACAATTTTTAAATAACTTTAGCCTAGTTTTCTGTTCATGATCACCATGATAAAATAAAATAATTATCAAGATTTTCACAGCTCATGATCAATGCGTGTTGTTTAAATTGTTAAGATCTTATATCATTTAGTTGTTATCTGGAAGATACAGCTGCCGATCTCCTGTTTCGCCTCTCTCAACACCTGCGGGATGATATGGAATTCGCTTAAGACAAACTATATGGCGATAATCTTCAAAAACTAATTAAGGTATCTTGAATAACAATGTTAAACGTATTGAAATTTTATATTATAACATCAAAACAGTTTTTATTCTTAGGTCCCTAGGTTTTGTGAATAAGATTAAAAAAAGAGCTTTGTGTATGCGTGTTTGAGAACCGCCAACAGCCATTTATGCTGAGTATACAAGAGATCAGCTAAAAATGCCGTGACATGGTTGTTGCACTCCGTATTTAACTTTCAGAAAATTTAATCAACGACGGAATAGCACGATAAATATACCTACTAGATCAATTGTAAAACAAGGGGCTAGTAACTAAAAGAAATATTTTGCTTTAATGTTAAAATATAAACAAATATAAAACATTTGTAATAATAAACGTGCTGACAGTTCACCTAATGGTAAGTGGTTTCCGCAGCCCATGAATACCTGCAAACAACTTCAACAAGAGAAGTCTACAGTAGCGTTGTTACCTGTGAGGACTAAGATGGATTGTCTCACAGCCTGTAACTGATTCCTTATAGCCTTGGCACTCCCATTCAGTGGCATTGGATCCTAATGCACATGGGTGGAACATTCAAGTTTCTAAAATGATTGCTCTCTTTCTATAGATATAATTTATTTTATTATTATAAATTTGTAAGAAGGCGGCATATATCCGGACAAAAGACTTGGTAGAAAATGAGTACTACCTGTGTAAACAACATATAACCTTGCTACTATAAAACACTAGTAAAGCTTAAATAACTACCAGTAGGTATCTGTAATGTCTATTAAATAAAAATTATTCTATTCTAATCCATTATTATTATCATATTACACATCATTATATTATTATATTACATTATTATTATATATAACTTATATAAATCTCTTTGTTGGGTACAGCCCCTGAGTTACCATGGCTCTCACCATAAATAAAAGTTACAGTATTAAAACTGCATTAAAACAAAACCAATAGAGGGATGTGTCAGTTAAACTGAAACTAACTAACAAAATAAAACTGAAATTTACCTTTTAGTGGCGCGAGGTGAGAGAACTTCATTGAACGATCAAATTAATGGTTCATTTTAAAACTTTGAAATGCACTAAGTTTTAAGTTTTGGTTTACAATATTTTGTAATTATTTTATTGACGCTAAATTAATACTTTACCTTTTAGTGGCGTGAGGTGAGAGAACTTCATTGAACGATCAAATGAATGGTTTCAATTATAATACTTTGAAATGCACTAAGTTGAAATGAAATGCACTAAGTTTTAACAACTTCGCTGCCAGTTCCGCGAATTAGCGGAGTGCGGGGTGCCGGCTCCGCTAATATGCGGAGTAACGCCGCTTGGTTTCTACGAATTAGTACGCGCCTGGCACTGCGCTTGGCAACACGTTTGTAGTCTGGCTCTGTGCTTGAATAAGGTAAAATACCGTTACAAGTTGCGGTTTTTTAAAATTGACTCTTATTGTCAAACAAATAAGGTATTTACATGGATGACGAAGCCGGGCAGTCAAGGCCAAAACGAAGCAAATTGCCACTAAATTATAATGTTACGGACAGTGAAGTTGAAGATGAGCTCTTTGGAGATGATGGTGAGATGAGTACTATTTTGAGGGCTTGGATGTATCATCAGATGACGAAGAAGAGGCCGCTGACCGGCGGCATATTCAGCAAAATGCGGCTATGGATTTGGTACCGCTGTCGCAGTCTCATAGCCCATCCGAAGAGTCCCAACCATCAGAAAGCACTGCAACATCTACAGTAGGGTGGACCACGACATGTGAGTTACAAAATATAAACTTTACTAAACAGAATGCGTTTTCCGGCAACCCTGGACAAACTCCAATAACATTTTTCAACTTCTTCTTCGAAGACGATTTTCTTGTTATGATTTGCGAAAAAACTAATGCTCAAGCTGCCAAGTTACTAGGAAACACCGTATTAGCAAATTCAAGAATAAATGCTTGGAAGGAGTTGAATATTCCTGAGCTGAGAATATTCTTAGGCTTATTATTTCACATGGGGTTCATTCAATTCAAAAATTATTGGAAAACGAATCGTTTATTTTCAATAACTATTTTTGGGCGATTTATGAGTAGAAACAGATATCTGCTTATAATGATATGTCTCCACTTCAGCTCAGAGACAGTGATTGACCCAGACCCACTGTACAAAATACGCAGCGTCATAGATTATTTCAATCAAAAAATGGATAGCTGCTATTATCCTGCGAAAGAGTTGTCTTTGGACGAGAGTATGGTGCTATGGAGAGGACGTCTCAAATTTAGACAGTACATCAAAAATAAAAAACATAAATATGGAGTCAAACTGTACATGCTGACTGAATCTGATGGTCTCATTCTCAAATTTCGTGTTTATGCAGGGAGCCAAGACATTGAAGTGGCAGGAAAAGGGCACGCAGAAAAAGTTGTGATGCAATTGATGGAAAAGCATCTTCAGAACGGCCACTCATTGTATATGGACAACTATTACAATAGCTTCCATTTGGCAAAGCGTCTTTTAGAAAATAGAACATACTGCACTGGAAACTTGCGAAAAGATTTGAAGGAAAATCCAAAGGAAGTTTACCAAAAAAACACTGAAAAAAAGGTAAAAATATATCACGTTTTCAAAAAAGTGAACACATCGGAAAGTGGAAAGACAAACGCCCAGTGATGCACATCACCACAGAATAGGAAGACAGAAGGGTGCCAGTTGCCAACAAACGTGGCCAGATCAGTGAAAAGCCAGAAGCTATTGCAAAATATAATGAGTTTATATCTGGAGTTGATAGACAAGACCAGTTGCTCGCATTTTATCCATGTGAAAGGAAAACACTACGTTGGTATCTGAAGTTAGCGATCCATACCTTTCAACTTCTCTTCATAAACTTACACAAAATTTATAACAAATATTCTGGCCAACCGAAAATGACACTCTATGATTATCGTTTATCTGTGATAAATGAGTTGTTACCCGAAAACAATACTTCAGTGGTTGCTGGTTCAAGCAATGCAAGAACAAGTAGATAAGTGCTGCACAAAATCAGTAAAATTACTGAGAGAAATTCCAAAGGATTTCTTAGGCGTAAAATGTGCCGCATGTGCTCAAAAACACAAAAAAACGTAAAGACTCTATGTGGCATTGCGAAATGTGTAAAGACAAACCTGGTCTATGCTATGAATGTTTCGATGAATACCACTTGTCCATCTAAATTTAATTATGTTTTTTTTATTTAGTTACTAAAGATTTGGTTTTTGTATCCATCAGCAGTATGATTATATAGCGTTAGAAGTTTTATTAGTAATTTTTTTTTTTTATTTAGACCGCGATCATACAGCTGGCTATTTTGTGAGTTGATTTTATAAAATTCTAACAAAACATTATATAGAATATTTTGTTATTAGATATTGAGAAGTTTATTTTTTGTGAGTTGGGGAAGCTGTGATTATTTTTAGAGGTTTTGTGTTTAGTTTTACTTAGAATACTGTAATTCAGCTATTGTAAGTTACTTTGAGTTTATTTTTTATTTTATACTATTTTTTGTAAGATTATCCTGTGAAAGACTTTAGTAAATGTTACCAAAGGTATTAGAATTAAGCAAACTACTTTTTTCTTGTGTTTAAATACCATAAATAATTTTAAATAAACCATAATACATAAAAGAAACTACTCCGCAAAATTGCGGACTTGGCACTGGGGTTGAAAATGTCAATCTCAGTGCCAGGTCCGCAAATTCGCGGTTTTTTTATTTAGCATTTTCTTACCAAAACCTTCTAAAAATAGTTAAATATTTCCAAAATAACAATATTGAAACATCCTTCATGCATATTTTACACAAAAAAAACAATGGATTTTCATATGACGTCACCATATTCCAGTTGGCAGCGAAGCTGTTAAGTTTTTGGTTTACAATATTTTGTAATTATTTTATTGACGCTAAATTAATACGATTAAGTTTAAAATAAATGCAACAATTTACTTAATTAAATTATGTTAATCATTTTTCACTATTTTTATAGGTGACGAGCACACAGTCCAACTGATGATAAGTGGATGATGAGTAGTTAGTTTGTGACAAGTTTTGCGTAGGAAGCACGGTTTCGGAGATGATCTTATTGATATTCGGTGGGCCTGCACCCTCATTAGCGTTCCATTGTTGTTCAGCTTTTCCTCTTATCTATTGTTCCTTGAAAACATTATATACATTTTGCTTATCGATGCTATTGTATTGTTACGAGCTTGAGGTTCGTGACAATAAAAATTGCCGATAAAATTACCTAAATTAACACTTTAATTTACTTTACACAAATTAAAGTTAAAAACACTAATAATTAAACACACTAATTCACTTTATTCCGCTCCGAAGCTTCGCTTGTCTCGCCAAATCCAATACTACTACTATCGCATCTTGCAGCGCATATTTATATAAATTAGCAAAGAAATATCCAGAATGTTGGAAGTAAACACGCGCAAGGTACCGAGAGTTCGAGTTTTAAACTTCAAGTTAGTTCTTCGGTTCGAGACTAGATGGCGCTAGTGCCGCCGATTTGAGCGCGTAACAGTATTATACTTTTTGTTCATAGCTGCCACGCAACTTCTACAGTCGTAATGATTTCTTATATTTACGCGAACATTGCACATGATTAAAACTACTTTTACGGATTTTATCGCGTTTATTTTTACTTTTTATTTTTTAATTCCCGACGTTTCGGGCGCTTTCCAGCACCCATGGTCACGGGGGACTGAGATGACTGACGTCCCGTTGTCATTGTTAAACCCGGAGTACCTTCAGCTTTTTTAATTATTGTTTATGGTCCGATCTATGCAAAATGAACTGACTATGTCTTGAGGTCTTGCAGTGGTATGCTTGGGTTTAGTTTTAATTTTATTGATTATAGGATCCCAAGCAGGTGGTAGTACCCAGCCTCCTTCTCTATTGAAATTAGGATGTTTTTTTAATTTCAATAGCCTCACGTATCATCCTTGGGAGGAATCGGTGTTCTTTCGCGAGGATTTGTGGTCTATCAAATCTGATGTAATGGTTGGGGCCGTCTAGGATATGATCACAAACTGCAGACTTCCCGGAACCATAAACAATAATTAAAAAAAGCTGAAGGTACTCCGGGTTTAACAATGACATCGGGACGTCAGTCATCTCAGTCCCCCGTGACCATGGGTGCTGGAAAGCGCCCGAAACGTCGGGAATTAAAAATAAAAAGTAAAAATAAACGCGATAAAATCCGTAAAAGTAGTTTTAATTCTACAGTCGTATTACGGACGTCGGTTAGAGCCGTTGATGGATTTAAAGGAGTTCAGAGACGTCGCACGTCACGAAACTTTTAAATGGTTCAATCGATGTGAGAGTTGAAATCGAAATAAAACAAGAAATATCAGATCAGACAACCACTTATTGCTTGATTTTAAACGATTTTATGTCCAAATACAAACCACTGAGTAATATCATTTAGAAATTAGCAATACAATAATCGTCGATCTTCAAAGATTCAAAAATAGCACAAATGGATTTATAGTTAAATAATTTGCTATAGCAACTCTAGAGTATACCAAAATATTTTCTCTTTACCCACTCACTTCACTATCTCTTGAAGAGAAAAAACAAATTGGCTGGTGCTTGTGCAGTGGGTTTGGTGCAAAGAGCACAGAGGGTATCGATGGAGTGAGGGCTTCGTTGATTATAGAGAGTTTCATAGAATTATCAAGACATATTTGAAAGATACAAATATTTTTTTAAAAGGACATGAAAAAATTAAATGGGTAAAAGATCTTTGTGATGAAAATAATACTATAATAGTTATAAGTTGCTTAGGAACTCCCAATTTAAACACTCTTTGTGAACTTTATTGTAAAGATAATTTACTGTATAACTGTTTTACTCATCAGAAAATCTGTGCGTTAAAAAATGTTTTATGTATTAAGAAATGGTGTTTTAAAAACAAACTGATTGTTTCATTTGCAATAAAATATATGTAATTCTTCTTTTAATTTAACCTACATTTGTGTTTGAGAAAAAGAAAAAAAAAATAGTTTTAGACCAGCAACGATTAGTATTATTAAAGTAATTAGGTTTTTTTTGGTACCACCTTGCATTTTAACAATAAAGTAGATTAGCCTTCCTAATTTGTTATTTTATTATTAAACTAGACTAATGATCAGCTAGTGACTGTCATCGTTAAAAAAGTTTTTCACTTTCTGATTTTGCATTTGTTATATTGTATACGAGAGCGTCTGTATTATCATAGATGCTATCCATATTAGTCTTTACATCATATTTAATTCTTGTGGAAGCATGTTTCCAATGATCAGTAGTTGGAATCTTGAATAACTTCTTCATATCGTACGTTTCAATTTTTATGAGATGCGTCGCTTGGTCTTCGTCGTCAGAATTAATAGAAATGTATAATACACTATCTCTAGCGGCTCGTGCTACGGTTGACGATAATAGCATCCTCTTTTTTATTTTTTATTCAGCTTCAAAAAAATTATCAATTAATTCCGATTTTTTTTTCCACCATCGCATGTGTTATTATAAATGACGATGTCATCACTCTCTTCTTGAGGGGAGAGTGGTGAGTAGTAATACTGTTTATAGGTATTTTCATGGAAGCTAAATGATTTCTGCAACAACACAGTTATCATGTTAATATTAATTTGTTTACACTTAATCACACACATACACGTAAGAAAACAACAGAAAGAAAAATAAGTTTGTCAATAGATTAAACACTTACGTTCATGACCATTGATGCGTTGAAGTAAAAAAACAAATGTAGTATTGGTAGATCCACTGCGGTCAAACGACCATACACTGACTCCTTGACTGCAGCTGCTCGGTCTTGTATATTACCAGTAAATTAAATCTAATTTAAAGCATTTCCACAGTGAAACTGGTAGTAACTTTATGAGTCAACAAGCTTATCTCGAATTCTTTCGTGTTACGATTTACGCTACATCGATGATTTCTACAAATCATCATAATTAATATTTAAAAATCATAATAATTGATCATTCCTATGTTAACCATTGAATAGATTGGTACTGTAATAATCTATTAATAAAAATAATATCATGAATACATTAGATGTACTTTAACATCTGAAAAAGATTCATCCCAGTGTAGAAAATAATGTCTATGCTGCTAATAGGCTGCCCGCCCATGTATACCCACGTACCAACGTATATCATTATGCAATTTGGATACAGATGATAAACCAGGCTCACATTAGGTAGATTTATATATCGATATAAATGGCGTCGGTCAATATTTTGATTCATATGGACGATTACCTGCACTATATCATCTAAAAGAATTTTAAAAGATGAGATTGGAATGATGATAGGATTCAAAATGATTGTATTTCAGTTTGTAGTGAATATTGCTTAATGTATTTGCTATATAGGTTTCAGGGATGTTCAGTGCATAGTTTTACGGGCATATTTACAGGGCATATTTACTGTACAACGATATTTTAGATAATGAGATGTTTCGCTCCTATTTTATAGATAATAAGCAATAACATTTTGAAAATAAGTAACTGATTTTTTTTGTTCCACCTTGCATTTCAACATGCCGTTGAAGGCCCCAATTCTCTACAGTAAAGGTCTAAATTTTAGTCTAATAATTGATCTGCCTTTTTTTGATATTTGCTCCATTT